ACCCTCACTGGAGGAAAGATAGCCTCTTTAATAAATGGTGCTGGAAAAATTGGGCTTAAACTTGCCAAAGATTAAAACTAGGCCTATATCTCTCACCATGCACTAAACTAAAATCAAAATGGATTAAAGATCTAAATATTAAAATAATGTAATTATTTTTATGCTAATAGATGATACTGGTTTGAATTTCTTATCCTTGTAAACTAAATTACCACCATAGGCACCAAATTTAAAAAGTGAAAGACGGAGTGGTAGCTAACATAAATTCTCCCCATACGTAGATATTTGTGCCCAATATTCTAATTTCTATATATATTAATTTCTCCAAAGCAATCAAGGGAAACTCTCATAATAATAACAAAATTCTTTTTAAAAAATTGTTATGACTCCTTATCTCAAAGTGTGAAATTCAAAATTCTTATAGCCAATCAGACCCCAAATCAATTAAACCCTCTTGTGAAATCTTGTTCATTTGTCGGCTCTTCTACAAAACTGTTTTAGAATAGGTTTCTAAATTTTATTTGAAAGACAAGGTTCATCTATGGCATTTTTCACACAAGAGAATGTAAATCTATTATTCATTGGTAGCAATAGAACTCAGGTAAAGACTGAGGTAATATCCCAGTTATGTTTTGGACTAGGTTTTGCATATGCTGTGGAACTCACAACACAGGTAACAGTAGAAACTTGTAGGAGTTTTATCTACAGTGGTTGGTTAAATGCTTCTGACATTCCACAGGAGCAAGACAGTTTTCACTGTACTTTGCAGCACCTTGCTATTTCCTCCCACTTCTTTTCATGGGGGGTATTAATATCTCATATTTTTTGAAAGAAAATGTGTATTCAACACATTGAAAGATTGGTGTGAGTTCTTTGAATACAATACTTTGGTTGTAGAGCTAATCAACATGCGTGATGTTGTGTCAGGTCTTTTTCAACAAAATAACTGACCTCTGCTTCCTGACACTATGTCTGGTGTGCACTGAGGAGTCTGAAAGAAGGCATCTGCCTCAACTCCTCCAGTTCGCTCTCCTTTCAGTTCTCTCTCAATTCTCCCCCTCCCTCTCTCCCTCTCTCCCTCTCTCCCTCTCTCTCAATTCTCTCTCTCTCTGTGATACTAAATAGAATTTTTTCCACCTCTATCTTATAAATATTTTTAAATTTCTCAAAGATTTTGAATTGCTCACCCAAATTAAATTTTGAGTCTTAGTTTTTAGAGTTAATGGGTTTAGTTACCTGTTACCTGATTTTTAAGTTTTTAGTACAGAAAATGGCAAGATCAATTATTTTTCACCTAATTCAAATAAATTTTGTTATCTTTTATTTATCCAGATTTTAAACCTTAGGTTTCAGTTTTACACTATTGTGTTTTTGTCATTCTCCCATTCTCAACCCCACAGCATCTGTCTGTTAACATTGCTGTTATTAAATTTTAAAGCTAATATTCTAAGATTAATCAGGTCTTGCTCTTTGTGGCATTCATGTGCTATACTCATGAACTTCAGATAATTCTACTGGTCTTATAATTTTTAAGTAAATGGTCAATGAAATAATGTATATGAACACTAGTACAGTACTTAATGAAAAGTAAATATTAAAAAATGCCAGTGTATGAAAAGTAATTTCTTGATTAGTTTGAACATGTTTTCATGGGGCTTCATTGAAATTGCCTGATAAACAGAACTTACCAAATCCAAAAACCATAATTTAAAGGTACAGCAACTTAAATGATGACAAGCTTATAATTTAAATTAGATGAAAGACATTATTATAATTTTGAGAATTTTATTTTTTTTAAAAAAAAGCTCATAGGTTTTGCTTCCAAACAAGTGAAATTATATTGCAAAAATACTTTAGGCATTTAATATATTTCACAATTATCTGAGCATATATCATATTAAAATATATTCATCTTAGCACATAAGAATATAATTTTCATTAATATAACTATTAACTCTACTTAATCTATCTATATCTATTTCCTGAGAACTTTCTATTTGTTACTTCAGTTTACCCTTGGGTTGTGGTCTTGCTCTTTCTCACTTTTCATTCAGTCTTGCTTTTTCTGAATCCCACCCTTACCTTTTCCCTCCCATCTCTTCTTTCCCAGTTATCCAGGAATCCGAATGAGCCTTTCCTTTCCACTGTCCCTGACCACTCACTAGTTCTCCCTGTACCTTGTCCTCAGGTAAAGCAGTCAAGCCCAGGCTTCCTAGCATGTTGAAATATTTAGATTTTCTCCAAGTTTCCTTCCCTCTACTTAAATATTTTTCTAACAGATATCAAATTCTGTTCATTGTGTCTTTCAAAATTCTTCTTGCCATTAACTCCAAGAAGCATTTCCCCGATTGTGATAATATTAAGTAACCATTTTTATTCCAAGTTTGTTTCTACATAGTACACCAGTGCATTGATACAATGGCAAATAATCACCCAGGCAGCAGAATGTCGATATTAACAAGCAGGCAAAGGTTTTATTCCCCTAAAATTATACGAGTTTCACATAAGTGTGTAGAGCAAAGATGACAGGACGCTCAGAATTCAGCCTCTTGGGGACATGCTCCTGCTTTCCTGTGACACTTGGGAAGTTTGCGGTGTGCCTTCCCAGTTCTCTGGCATCTCTCACAGTACCCCAGTGAAGGGCATTCATGTATGAGAGTTTACCGGAAGCTGGGTATTCTAACCATCACATTCTCTATGTACATCCCACGAGGTCTCACTAAAGGAAAATTGTGTGAAAAGTATAATTATTTTGTACTTATTTTTCCATCACTTTTGACATTCTGGATTAAATATGTTGCAACTGTTTATGAATTTATGGCAGAATATTCAATGCTACAGTGTTTTCTCATGAGCTCAGCATTTTTAATTTTGCTTTTCCCCTCTCCCTTCACAACTTTCTTGATCTTTATCATAAATGCAGAGCTGTAATCATGAATTTATCTCATATGGAAAATATCTTTCTCCTTGAATAACAATCTGGTCACTATTTCACGGATCTGCTTGGTCTTTACTCCATAGACAAGTGGATTCAAGGTAGGAGGTAACAACAGGTAGAGGTTGGCTATAAAAATGTGAACATGATGAGGTATGGTTTGTCCTCCAAAGCGGTGAGTGAAGAAGTTGAAGAAGGCTGGGACATAGGTGATGACGATAGCACATATGTGAGCTGTGCAGGTGCCAAAGGCTTTCTGGCGAGCATCTTCAGATGACAGAGTCAGTACAGCACGGATAATCATGGTGTAAGACACGGTGATACAAAGCATATCAAAGCCTCCAATCAGTCCAGCAGCTATGAGACCATAGATAGCATTAATCTTGATATTGCCACAGGATAATTTGGCCACAGACATATGATCACAGTAGGTGTGATGGAGGAGGTTACCTCTGCAGTAAGGAAGGCGCTTGATCAGGAAAGTAAATGGCATCATGAGCAATGCACTTCGAAAGAAAGTGGCCAACCCCAGTTTGGTAATTACGGTGTTGGTGAGGATGGTGGAATAGCGTAGAGGATAGCAGATGGCCACATAGCGGTCCAGAGCCATGAGCATGAGCACTCCAGACTCCATGCCCGTCAGCATGTGGATGAAAAACATCTGCACAAGGCAGGCATTGAAATCAATCTCTTTGAGACTGAGCCAAAAAATACATAACATATTGGGGACAAATGAAGTACATCCAGAAACATCTGTAAGGGACAACAAAGCTAAGAAGTAATACATGGGCCGGTGCAGGACCTCTTCATGGCTGATGATATAGATGAGGCCACAGTTCCCTATGACAGCAATGATGTACATGAAGCAGAAAGACAATGAGATCCAGATGTGCTCACCCTCCAGCCCAGGAATCCCATTGAGGATAAAGAACTTTGGTGTCAGGCTGGAGCTGTTGGCCTCATGCATGGTGATCAGTTAGAAGACATGTTATCTTCCATCCCAATAAAGGAATCCTGTGTAGGAAAAGAGTAATGAAATTATTTTCCTCCAGAGACAAAGCTTGTACATGTATTTCACATGATATAAAAACATTAGTTTAGAAGAGAAACAATTTTTTGTACCTAGACTGTGTTCCTTGATGCTTAGTGTTCTTTACCTATTAAGCATGAACACATAATGCAAATATTGTCAAAGTCCTGGCATGGCTTGGTTTCATAGTCTAAACTCTGTTTACATATAACTGTTCCTAGGTCCAGGGCAGGCACCCACAATTGAATTTTGCTCCCCCAACCAATTCTAAATTATGGACTCTGTTTGAATAACATGGTTACAAACAAACAAACAAACGAACAACATGATTCCTTGTAACTCTTCACAGGTTTATCTTCTAAGAAGTACTTTAAGATGTGTCTATTGTGTCATAGTCCATCAAATTACTTGAGCATCTGCTTACCATGCAGATCTGTTACAGGGGTCAGCTTGATTTTTATGCAAGTTTAAATCTGATAAGTCTGAGTATTATAATCAGAATAATCAAAGTCATAAAAATGATATGCAAGTTTTACAATTTGCAAGGCATGATCTTATACATTTTGTGTTATAACTGTTTCAAGCTGCTCAATGTGAAGAATTTTTGTAATATTTATGTTTATCCAGTGAGATTGTTAATCTTTAATTGACCTACTGTCTACTAATTCTATTCAAATCTCTATGTAGAAGAGTATGATATGGATATACCTATAACAGTCATAATCAACTTAAATATACATAATGCTGTGTATGTCTATGCTATATATATATATATCATAATTTTCTTTCTTCTTTTGGTGTATTATTTTTATCCCACAAATACCTAAAACACATCTATTCAGCAAGTAGAAACCTTATTTATTAGCCTTTTTAAAATTAGTACATGTCGGACCGGGGATTTAGCTCAGTGGTTCTGCCACCTGCCTCGCAAGCACAAGGGCCCGAGTTCAATTCCCAGCACACACACACACAAAAAATTATTACATGTCTGTAGTGCTATTAACCTGATTTTTGAAAATAGTGAGTTTACCATCTGTATTCTTTTTTCTGAAATCTGGTCAATCTTTAATCATTCTTGATTAAAATCATAAGACTCTAGAATCTAGGTTTTTTTTCAGAGACAAAAGATAGTTTATTAGCCACAGCAATAACAGTAGCCAGAGTAATATTATTTGTACCATTTCCCTGAGCCCCAGTTTCCAGAATGACACAATAAGAAGCTTATACTTTGCATATATTGGTTCCCATTACAGGGGAGGAAACCTCAATATAGCATTTGATTTTTAATGAAAATTCTTTGACTACAATTTCTTAAAACTTTCCTTAGTTATTTTTTGTTGTATGTTATCAGTTACCTATTTTTGTAGAAATGCATACTTTATTGCAATTTCACAAGTTTTTATATCATCTGCTGAAATGTTTTAATATCCACACATAATCTTTTCCTAATTTTTATTGCTTCTCTCTCATTCTCTCTGGTGTTTTACCCTATGGGTTTGGATTTCATTTTCTTTCTATGTTTAAGCCATAATTGTTTAAGCAACTTTAAAAAAGTTAACATGGATAGCTTGAAATATAAAACAGATAAAGTAAATCTTCTAGAAAACAGGAAAAGATGAGAACAGATTACTTTTAAAGCATTTTGCCAAAAACAACATTGAATAAATTACGGAAAATTTCAGCACAGCCTGGGATATAATGATCACAGCATGTATTATTCTTCTAATTGTTAACGTGATTTGCATGATTTTGTTCTAGAAAGTGTATTTAAAGTAAAACTGTACCCAGCCATGCTTTACCTCTTCATCCCTCACTGAGACCAGCGATGAACAATGTTTCATTTTCTTATACAAAATCTTGGACAATTATGATACTTTTAAATCTTTGAATGTTTCCCTCACTCTCCTAACTCTGCCTCAGCCTGCCCAACCACACCTACTGGAGGTTTCTCAAACTTAAAAAACATGTGCACTTCGGGACGTTTCCACTTGCTGTTTTCACATCTACTGTGTTCTTCCTACAATGAGCACGGTGCACACCTCCAACAGTTGCAGGTCTCTGGTCGGTCATCCTGACAGTAACACTTTCCTGCTATCCAATTTGAAATCATGTTTCCCATGCTTTCACCCATACTGACATAGTACATCCCTTTCCAGTTTTTCCATATTCCACAGTGATTAATATTTTCTGTCCACTGACTAGAATGTAAAATCTCTATGTACAGGATTTCAGTCTCTTTTCCTCACTACTATATCTCAGCACAAGAAAAAAAACTGTAATAACTGAATTGATAAATTCCAAAGCCTTCTTTTTGCTTTTGTCTTTTTGCTAGTCCATAAAACCTTTAAATTATATATCGAAAAGTAAAAATGCATCTGGAAGACAGAAAACGATTTCAAGATGTCATTTGCTTGAAAGATTTTTTAAGACAAATCAAAATGAAGCTATAAAGTACTGGGAATTATATGAATTAGATGTATATAATTACCTTTATGTTAATTTGCATATTCTGAAAGACAAATATAATGAATAAGAAATGTTGCAGGACGACAGCTTTGGGTTAAACAATGTTGTTCATTCATGCAGATAAAATATCCTAAGAAGATAATTAAATCATCATCATCAGAATGGCTCCAGCAAAGGGAGTGGGAGAAGTGTTATGAGTTTATGAAGCAGTTGGATGTGAAGACTGCAATTCCTTGAAACTCTTCCACTAAATCTTATTAGTAGATGTCAGTAACAGATGTCTTACCATTTCCTAAGAAGGACTCCTCCGCCTGCTGAGAGCAATTTTTCTGTTATTGAATAGAAATAGGAGAAATATGCTTGCCTGCATCATCATCTCTTTGGTCTGCGTCATATTGGCATCAAGGAGTCTCCTTTCTATACTACCTGAACTGCCTTTGATTTTTCCTCTTCTTCTTTCTCTTCAAGGAAATTTCCACATCTCTTTGCTCCCATAATTCTAAAGAGAGAGATAATTCACTACCTTCCACATCCAGCCTTGCTCTGACTCAAATTCCTTCTCTTTACTAATATTTTTGAGCACCTTATTTATTTTTTACTTCCTAAATGCTCGAAAATCACTTTGATGTCAGGTGTTTTTATATCCCCACTCATTACTTATAATAGAAACAGTTGTGATACACTAATTCAGAACACTAAATAACACTAAATAACTGGGGACTTTTCAAGTGAAAGGGCAAAGTTTCTTTGAGTCTCCACAAGTAAAGATCCGATAAGTGTCTGTTGAAGAGATAAATCTAGTTTTCTGGAAACCAGGTCTATCTTTAAATACATTTGTGCATAGAGAAAATAAACTCCCAGGTTTTCACAGTTTTCCCCCGATGGGACATGCAAATAGTCTCTTCCATCTACTGAATTGCACATATGAAATTATATCTGGTTCCCCAGGGTTTTTCAGTTCCAGTTTTGTAATTTTGTCATAGCTTTATTCCTATGGCATGTGTGTTTTAAAGCTTTTTCAAAAATACAGTAAAAAAAATTCAGTATCCTCTATGCTAGAGACACATTACAATACGCTTTCTGCAATAAGGTCAGTTTGCATGAACACTGAACTGATCAAATATATTGTTTCTCCACCTGTGACCCTCTCTAATTGGCAGAAATGCATCACTCATTACAGTTGCAGCTTCATACAGTAAACCTTGCTCATCCTTAAGGAAACATGGAAAGCTGGATTGAAATTGTTCCAAATGTGAACATATTTGTGGGCATGAAACAAAGAGCAGCATGACCACAGTTTCATATGGTCCACTGTGTTTGTAGAAGTGAGTGCTAGTTACAGGAAAGTGAAACAGTAAGGAGAAATATAATATTATGTTACATCCTCTGCTAGAATAGGTAGCACAATGGGCAATAACACAGAAAATCTAGATTTTTTTCACTTGACAGAGAACCAACCCGGTTACTAATGTACATCACACACATACACACATACACACACACACACACACAGCACCACCACCGCAATCCTTATACAACAGAGCATCATCCCAGAGTAAGAGGCCTCAGATATTAGAAATACAGTCCTGTGTCCATATGTAGCTTCATTTTTGAGTAAAGTATAAATGAAATTACTTATACATAATCTTCCACTTGATATTAGATGAGTTATACAGTATTAATAGAATTTGTTAAACTAGTGCTTAAATAGTAAGCTAGCAAATGATAGGCAATTTTCTAAATTTTGGGATCTAGTAGAAAGTTTCTCAAGTTGAAAATTGTTTGAATGAATGACTATATGCTCGCTTAAATTCCTTTTTTGTCTGTTGTATAATGAAAAAGAGGGAAAAAAGGAAAACATAAATATGAACACATATTACACTGTGTACCAATGATAATGCATAGATGTGAAAAGTTAAAACAACATCAGTTACTCATATGTAATCCATAATATACACATTGGCATGCAGAGTCTGACAATTTGCACAAACATGTCTAGTAAAACTTTCATGTATTTATGAAGGTGAGAAATGGATGAGTTTCAATTAATGAGAAGGAAGTAGAAAGCTGCATGTCGTTTCCCACTACATAAATGGCAGCAGTTTCAGTACTAAGAAAATGAGAGAAAATGGATATGAGAGGGTTCAGAAATGTATATTAGTAATTCTTTCTTTGAGAAAGGCTCTCCAAGTCAGGCTTGACCCGATCTCCTGCCTGAGCACCTTTGCCTGACATATGTGACTGATCTTTAGAATCTCCTAAGAGCCCAAAGCTCCCTGATATAGATGAGACTCCCAAAGTCCTATTTTGTAGGACTTGTTAATACATGACAGAAGCCAAAGGTCATCTACTGCCTTGAGAATAATAGCTCTTGGTAGATGATAGAAATGAAGCTGATTTTTTCTGTACTATTTAAAAACTGTATGAATTATGTTATGTTTGTTATTTATATCCTGTTATTGGTGGTGAGC